GATCCCAGGAAACAGAGGCAAGACAAAGAGGAATTCCTTAGCGCACCAGTTACTGATATTCAAATTTCCTCCAACACCACTAAGAAAGGTGATCCGATCACAGCAGCGCGGGGAAAACGCTCTAACCACATCCCCTACAAATGAAAAAGATCAGCATTTCCTGTGAGGGGCCCTCACAGAAAACGATATCCTTAGGGAACATGCCAGGTTTGGCAGCAGGTAGCCGAGTCTTCTCTAAATGGGATTGGTGAGGCACTCAAGAGGGCTAGGTATTGTGACGGCCAAGGTCACCTGATCACACAATGGGATGATCATGTCCTAGTCCCGTGTTCGGCAAACTGCGGCTCTCTGGCCCCTTCAGTGTGGCTCTTCCACAAAATACCACGTGTGGGCACGTACGTACGGTGCGATTGAAACTTCGTGGCCCATGTGCAGAAGTCGGTATTTTGTGGAAAAGCCACACTGGCGGGGCCAAAGAGCCGCATGTGGCTCGCGAGCCGCGGGTTGCTGAGCCACAGTTTGCCAACCACCGTCCTAGTCCTCCTCACCCACGACTGCTGAGAAATAACATCACACACCACAGGAACTCAACAGGAGTTATTTTGTTCTCATCCCTTTTACGCTCGTGAGAATGAGCCTAAAAATAGCCTTTCCACCCACTCCCCACCCTCCCGGGCCTTGGTCTGTGTGGCAGGTCCCACACACATGCGTGGTGTCCGCCCACCTACGCGGAGAGGTGCCCCATCCCAGGGCTTTGTAGTAGCAGATCCTTAGGAACAAGGTAACGTGAAAGAAGGCACGGAGTAAACCCCACTCCCATCAATCCACCCAAGAGCAGGACAGACAGACGCTCACCAGGACCATCGAGAACGGAAATGAACACGAAGACAGATGATGGTGGCAAATCGCCCCCATCTGGTCAGCAGTCCTGGCCATGGAGCCAGTTACCAGAGAAGAAGGCGAAGGTTGGGGCAGAGCTTTGCCTGGAGGCAGGGGAGTGGTCAGAAGGAACCAGCACATTGGCAACAAGACAGCCATGAACTTGCCTCCAACTAGGACAGCAAGGCCTTTCAGACCGGACGCCCTCACTACTGTCGGCCTCTTTAGAGAGGCAGGCATGGAGAAAGGACCAAGGAACCATTCAAAAGCTGGAGGCCAAGAGCAAGGGAGAGAGGAGCCGGGGGATCTGCATGCAGAGGTCTGCGCGGGTTTCTGCTGGTGGGATCTGCATGCAGAGGTCTGCGTGGGTTTCTGCTGGTGGGATCTGCATGCAGAGGTCTGCGTGGGTTTCTGCTGGTGGGATCTGCATGCAGAGGTCTGCGCGGGTTTCTGCTGGTGGGATCTGCATGCAGAGGTCTGCGCGGGTTTCTGCTGGTGGGATCTGCATGCAGAGGTCTGCGCGGGTTTCTGCTGGTGGGATCTGCATGCAGAGGTCTGCGTGGGTTTCTGCTGGCTGCCAGTGTGCAGCTTTCTTAGATCAGCAAGGTCCCTTCTAGCTGCAAGCGGGCCAGGGAGGCTGCAGCTTCCGATGGTGAATTCCTACATCCAAGGGGGTCGATGGGGCGGGGAGGTGGAGGCAGCTGCCGCTCTGTGCTGCTCAGAGGCCACATTTCAGGATGATGTGGTAGCCATCGCTGCTTTCCGCTGCAAGAGGGAAACACTGGGCATTTTTCAGGAAGAAAGGCACGGCGCCGTGGCATGGGGGAGTCATGGGAGGCATGGAATAGGGCGCCACAGCAGCCCCATCACGAATGTTGGCGAGACCACAAAATCAGGCTGCACTGACAAAAGCAGATACCTCCACACATGCCTTCCCGTCTGACAACGGGCCTTCCCACCTCAGCTCTGGCCCAAGGACCAAAGGACCCACATCCAAGGAGGCTCTGCACACAGTTTCTCAGGTGAACAGCCTCAGGGCCGTCACGAAGCAGCATCATTCTGACGGACTCACACACTCACTGCCTTTCCTGCTCCTGGCCCACGAGCTCGACTCCTTCCTCAGGAGGGCCCTTCATACCCCGTCTCCCACGTCCCCAACCCACCAGACCCAGCTGCCGTATTCCATGCTCACTTTTCCTAGAGTCCGAGGTTTCAAAAAACTCAAACGCATCTCTGTCCACCTGACACTGAGTCTGTGGGGAACACACGTCTGGCCAGGACTTCCCTTTCAGAAGGGACTCTGGGACCAGTCTCCCTGATCCTCACCCACCAGGCCAGGCTTCACGGGAAGTTTGTGCTTCTCCTTCCCCGAGGCCGCCCCCAGGTAACATCCTCTAGAGGGTACAGTGCGCAGGCAGCCCCACTCTCAGCATGTTACCCTGGGGGTGCAGCCATCATACTTCAACTAAGCGAAAACAGCTGGTGGGGGCTTTACCTTTTAAGGTGCTGAGGACAAAACAGGATTCATCCTGGAAATTCTGCACCATCTGAAAGGCAAGAGAGAGACCATGTCCTTCAACCATGAGCTCAATAGGAAAGTCTCAGGGGTAGGAGCCCAGAGTCTGGACTACATTTTTGCTTGCTTTCGTTTTGCTGTTTCCCAGTTACGGGGTCTCCCAGCCCCTATCACAGACACAATACAGGAGCCTGTATGTATATAGTAGCAAAAGATGAAAAAAATGTGTGCTTTAACGACCTGGGTAATTAGCAGGTTCTGATTGTGAGTCCTAGGAGGGCCAAGCACAGGAGTGGGCAACAAACAGTAGGTTCACAGTTTTGAGTACGTGAAACACATCTATAATAATAAAGGGTAATATGCTAATGAGACCGGACGTCATTCCAGATATCCTTCCTGATGAAGCCGGGGTCAGCAGCCAGGGGAAAGAAGGCCTACTCGTGCACGAATTTTCGTGCATCGGGCCTCAGTCCTATATAATAAAAGTCTAATATGCTAACGATATGCTAAGGCCACTCAACCACTCGCTATGACGTGCACTGACCACCAGGGGGCAGGCACTCTGACCGGTAGGTTAGCTTGCTGCTGAGGTCCAGCTGATCAGGACTTAGTGAGATGGGCTGGACACGCCCTGGAGCCCTCCCACGGTCCCTCCCCAGCTGGCCAACCTCCCGCGTCCCTCCCCAGCCCTGATCGTGCACCAGTCCTCTAGTAGTTAATAAAGCTACTGTAGTAATCATAACCTGCATGTCTTTTTCCATAATGTGAATGAAAAAGGAGCCCCCTGCTAACCTGACAAGCTAGGGGAGGCCTGCGTGAGGTCTTACAGACTCAGACCTGAAGTGACCGCAGAGGACGGTCTGAATGAAAACTTCCCAACTGCAAGAGGTCATGGCGGGCATCATGCCCTAGGCTGGCACTGCTCCCTGACAAAGGCCAGCCTTCACCTTACCTGAGCCTGTCTGCTATCTAGTTTTGCATCTAGGATAACATACCCGATAACATGCCTTTGGAATGTCAATGTGATTTCCTCTTTTCCGGGGCCCTCAAAGCACAGCCTCCCCAGAGCAGACCACCGATCCCTTCATTGTTGTTGTTGTGTTAGTTGCTGACTGTTCATTACCTTATACCCACCAATGTAAAAGAAGTGTATATTCCTTTTACGTTTCACCCAATCCCAGAGATTTCTCTGCTTTGGCTTCTCCCGCCTCCCTAATCGATCACCAATGAACTTCATGTAACCCTCTTACACCTTCTCCTTTGACTGTAATGTATAAAATGAAGGTGCAGAGGAGGACCAAGATGGCAGCGTAGGTAAAGGCCAGCACTCACCACCTCCCAAAACCACATCGAAATTACAATTAAAATACAGAACACCATCATTCAGAACAGCCTGAAAGCTGGCTGAAGGGCAGCCCTACAACTAGAGACATAAAAAAGAAAGCACATCGAGACTGAGAGGAGGGATGGAAGCACGGAGGCACAGAAAGGGCTGGGCCAACACCCATGTGTAGCGTTTTTCTAACTGGGAGAGATATCATGGCTATGGAGGCCTCCTGTGAGGAGCAAGGGGTCCCAGCCACACATCAGCCCCCCAGCCCAGAGTTCCAGTGCTGGGAAGAGCAGTCCCCATAACTTCAGGCTGTAAAACCCAGTGGGGATTGTGGCTGAGTGATATGGAGGCGGTTGGAGTGCCAGGGAGTTCTTCTTGAAGGGCCAGCACATGGACTTACCCAAACTCCATCCCTCTGGGCTCCAACACTGGAGTGGCGGCTTGAAAGGAACGCAAGACATTAGGGAAGGAACTGGATTGTCTGGTGTCGGGGCAAGAACCTGGGGGTGGCTTTCTTCCAGATGGGGGCACTCATGAGGGTCATTGTTCCTGTGCTGGGACCTCCCCTATCCCAGAGCTGACTGACAGCCATCATTTTGGCTCACAGGGAAAATTTCCATAAGCTTGGCTCACACTGTTTGCTCCATCCTGATGATTCCCTGAGACCACACCCCATCCAATTTGCAGCCCCACTGATGCTGTTTGCATTGGCTTTTCCATATATATGGCCTGTCCAGGTTCAGGCTTCAGACTTTCCTAAAATCTCTTAAACAAGAAGCAGCTGACATCAATAAGAGAATTAAGACCCAGCACTAGCACCAGCCTGCCTTGCTTCACAGTTGGGTGCACTTGATCACTTCCAAGCCCAACACAAGTAGTAGCCATCTGCAGATCTCTCTGCAGTTCCTGCCCCAGGCAGTGGCTGACTTTGCAACTCCTGGGAGGCCTCAGAGCCAGTGCACCAAATGGACAGCTTCAGACCATAGCAGATCACAACTCTACACATTCACAAGTGACACACTCAAGGGGAAGACACAATGCACACACCAAAGCCCCGCTGAAGCAAGTCCCGCTCCATAGAGGTGTCTCTTGCACAGCAGCTCTTCCACTGTAGTTGCTACTGGTCCTTACAGCCAATTGGTGTGGGTGTCAAGTACTTCCAGTGACACCAACAGCAATCAAAGCTCAACTACAAGACAGTGTACACAGCCCACACAGGGGCACACCTAGAGTGCCCAGCTGAGAAGACTGGGGAGGTTGAGCCACTGGGGCCTACAGAACACCTACTCCACAAGGTCACTCTACCAATTCCAGGAGACACAGCAGCTCTACCTAATACATAGAAACAAACACAGGGAAGCAGCCAAAATGTGGAGACTAAGAAACATGTCACAAACGAAAGAAATGGAAGCAAGCAAACTACTGGATACAGAGTTCAAAACCATGGTTATAAGGTTGTTCAAGGATCTTAATGAGAGCTTCAAGGGAATTAATGGGCGCTTCAAGGGACTTACTGAGAATTTCAAAGACATGAAAAAGGACAAGTGAGAAATTCAGCATACATTAACTAAAATAAAGAATAATTTACAGCAGGGGTCCTCAAACTATGGCCTGCAGGCCACATGCAAATACAAATATTGTATTCGTTCCCGTTTTGTTTTTTTACTTCAAAATAAGATATGTGCAGTGTGCATAGGAATTTGTTCATAGTTTTTTTTAAACTATAGTCTGGCCCTCCAACGGTCTGAGGGACAGTGAACTGGCTCTCTGTTTAAAAAGTTTGAGGACCCCTGATTTACAGGGATGCAGTAGTTGAGGATTCTGAGAATCAAATCAATGAATAAGAGAAAGGAAAAAACAGCAATCAGAAGAGCAAAAAGAATAAAGAATCCAAAAATATGAAAATAGTATAAGGAGCCTCTGGGACAATGTCAAGCATAACAATATTAGCATAATGGGGATGCCAGAAGAGATAGAGCAAGATATTGAAAACTTATTTGAAGAAATAATGACAGAAAACTTCCCTACCTGGTGAAGGAAATAGACTTACAAGTCCAAGAAGCACAGAGAACCCAAAACAAAAGGAACCCAAAGAGACTCACACCCAGACACATCATAATTAAAATGCCAAGGTTAAAGACAGAAACAATCTTAAAAGCAGCAAGAGAAAAGCAATTAGTTACCTACAAGGGGGTGCCCATACAACTGTCAGTTGATTTCTCAACAGAAAGTTTGCAGGCCAGAAGGGAGTGGCAAGAAATATTCAAAATGATGAATAGGAAGGACCTACAACCAAAATTAATCTACCCAGCAAAGCTATCATTTAGAATTGAAGGTCAGACAGAGTTTCAAAGACAAGAAAAAGCTAAAGGAGTTCATCACCACCAAACCAGTATAACGTGAAATGTTAAACAGCATTCTTTAGAAGAGGAAGACACAAGAAAGAAGAAAGGGGAAAGAAGGAAGAAGGAGGAGAGATAAAAAAATATGAACAATGAAGTGGCAATAAATACGTATCAACAACTGAATCTAAATCAAAATAAACAAACAAGAAAGTTAATGAACAAAATAAACTGATGAATAAAATAGAACAGAGACATGGAAACATGGAACAGACTGACGAGTTTCAGAGGGAAGGGAGAAAACGGGATGGGAAGAGAATAACCAAAAATGTTCTATGCATATATGCATTACCTATGACACAGACAATAGGGTGGTGAAGGCCTGGGGCGGGGCAGGAACTGGGTGGAGGGAGGCACTGGGGGGAAAAAGAGGGGGGACACCTGTAATACACTCAACAATAAAGGCTTCAAAACAAAAACAGGAAGCAAATCAGATGTCCTGATAGGTACATGTATAAACAAACTGGTATATCCATAAAGGGGAGCATTATTCTACAATAAAAAGAAATGAACTATCAAGCCATGAAAAGACATAGGGGAACCTTAAATGCCCATTGTTAAGTGTCAGAAACCAGTCTGAAAAGACTACTTACTATGTGATGCTAACCATGTAACATTCTGAAAAAGGCAGAACTATCTATATCAGCCGTGGGCAAACTACGGCCCGAGGGCTGGATCCGGCCCGTTTGAAATGAATAAAACTAAAAAAAAAAAAAGACCGTACCCTTTTATGTAATGATGTTTACTTTGAATTTATATTAGTTCACACAAACACTCCATCCATGCTTTTGTTCCGGCCCTCCAGTCCAGTTCAAGAACCCATTGTGGCCCTCGAGTCAAAAAGTTTGCCCACCCCTGATCTAGATAGTAAAATTATCAATAATTGCCTGAGTTTCAACGGACGAGGAGAGGGGAAGAGGGATGAAGAGGTAGAACACAGGGCACTTTTGGGGGCAGTGAAGTGATTGTACATGAGTGTAATGACATCATGCATTTGTCAAAACCCAGTGAACTGTACAGCAGCAAGAGTGAAATCTAATGTAAACTAGGGACTTTAGTTAATAATATACCAATATTGCCTCATCAATTATAACAAATGTGCCACACGAATGATAGAAGAACTTGTGCATGTGTTGGGGAGGTGGGGGGGGGGGGGCGGATATGGGAACTCTCTGCACTTTCTGCATAATTTTTCTATAAACCTAAAACTACTCTAAAAATATAAAGTGTATTTTTAAAAAGACTGGGGCAAGGAGGGAGACAACCATAAAAAAATATAATAAAATAACGTGCAAA